GCAGGAGGTCTGTCTGATTGGTCCCATCCCAGGCCATACAGATACTTCACAGATCAGCCCTGCCAGGCTGAGGCACTATGCTTCATCAGGAGCAGAGAGAAACCCCTGCCGTATGCTCGGCATCATTTAAAAACCTCTAAGATTCCAAAAGAAGATGAGCTCACATTCCCAGGCCAATCTTTGATGGATGGGTTAGTTGGAAGTTGCTAAAGAGGGTCATGAGACATGACACCTTCAGTTCGTGTCTACGAGATCTGGCTAAGATGCGCATCTTCCATAATGTGGGTGTCCACCCAAATCCATGGGCAGTTCTGAGTCACCTGGCGAGTCAGTAGGCAAAAGGCAGGTGAGCTAGAGGGAAAACATGCATTTAAACTAAAACACTAACACACAGAGTAGTGTGCATTTTTGTGAATGTACTCAAATATACATACAGCATGTTTAAGTGTGCATGTGGGTATTTATAGAGATGTCTATATGTGCAAGTGCATATATATATTCCAGGCTGGAAAGCTAAGGAATGGACTGGATCTAGCTGGCAAAGCCACGCCTTTAATCTGGGGGAGGAAAGAAGAAGAGCAGGAAGGAAGGGAAGAAGGAAGAGGAGGAGAAGAGGAAGGAAATGGGGTGTGAGGTTGGAAAGAGGGAAGGATGAAGAGAGAAACACCCAGAAGCAAAAGGAAACATGGCTTGCCTCCATCCATTCATCATATTCATCAAAAGCCAAGAGTTGAGAAGCAGAAGACTCCAGAAAGACCAATATATATATATTGAACTAGCTACCAACCTCTAACACAGTAATCATTTAGGGGAGGAGGCTGTCAATTAAGCCATATATGGGATATGAATTTGTTGGGGGAAGGGTTGGTATTCAGAAACAGCAGAGACGTGGAAAAAGAAAAGATACAGAGGAAGACTAAGACAGGAGAACTGGCAGGTGCACACTGGGCCAAGGCTAATAGCTACCTGCGAGAACAGGGTCGGAGGTGGTCGTTACAGGGTTTTCACTGTATCCGCTGTGTTTAATCTGCCCTAAGAATAAAACATTCAATGAGAATAGAAAATAAAATGCTAATAATAGTTTAAATAGTAGGAGAATGTGAGTGTTCGTCTATTCGGTCAGCTTTGGTATTTGTCTGCACATCTTACTTCTCAGGAGGTAAAGGAGATCATTTTGATTGCATCTCCATAGCCATGTGCTAGATGGTAAGAATTGTTGTGAGCATCTTCCAGTCCTCCCCAACTCCAAAAGACCTCAGATTCCCAAATTAGCCCAGACTAACCCTTTGCAGATTAATAACCTTGTTTTTTCATGATTAAAACTCATATAAAGAAGGCCTGTTAGATCACAGAACTTGGAAGGCTAAGGCAAGAAGATTATGAATTCAAAGACTACCTGGACTACATAACAAATTAGAGTCCAGCCTGGGCTACACAACAAATATAGAGTCCAGCCTGGGCTACACAACAAGCCCTTCAAAAAAGAAGCAGATGAAATGCATAAAATAGATGCTGTTCATTTGTAAGTTCAAGCATCCGTCCAACGCAGAGCGAGGCTCCCGGCACGCTGGGCTGAGTGATGGATGGGTTCTGCTGTAAGCTACTCCCGGCCTGGGAGGACGGACAGATGATATGTGGGGGGGAAAAACATGAGAACGCACTGTGGGCAGTGTGTAATAAGGACATTTTTACTACTGCACACTGTCTGAAACAAAAAGGTTCATGATGGAGTCTTGGGGGGCGGGCTATAATTTCACACAAGGACATTAAAAGGGGTCTAGAAAGACGAATGCATCAAGAAAAGAAATAAGAGGGAAATAAAGACATGGAAATCCTTTTCATGCCAGTGTTAGGATACAGATTCCAATGTTCTTAACGACAGTGTGCTATAGGCTTGGACACCAGCCTGGGGCACTAATGGGAAGTTGTGGAGCATTGACTGGGTCAAGCCAAGGAAGTTAGGTCATTAGCAATATGACTTGAAGTAGATACTGGCATCTCAGCCTCCTCCTGTCTTTCTCTTGGCTTCTATCCACTATGAGGTGAGTAGGGGCCCTCCTCATGCACAACCACAGTGACGGGCTGAGTGTCAATGAACTCAAATTCCCCAAAACCATGATCCCACAACAACCTTCCCTCCAAGATACTGATTTCCTTAAGGATTTTGTCACAGCAATGAGATGCTAACTAACACGGCCATTTACCTACACATTACAGCACGCAGCATCCCCATAGCTAAGTAGTAGTGTTTTTAATTTAAGGGGAAAAAAAAGGCTCTGAGGAAATAAATAAGTGTACAGAATCCAAAGAGTAAAATGTGGATTCTCACTCAGATCTGAAATTTCAGGCTGGAAAGAGAGGGTATGTAAAGAGATGGGGTTCACCTAAGGCAGAATCGGGAGCCTTCCGGTACACATGCTGCTACTTCCCTCATCCCCCCAAATTTGGACACTCAGTGTGTTAACCTCAACTCAACTGGCTTTAGAATCACCTAGGAGATTGAGGCACACCTTTGAAGTGTCAGTAAATATGTTTCAGAGAGAACTGAGGAAGAATAACTCACTTAGAATATGAGTGGTCTCATCCCAGGGATTGAAGATTTGAAAGAGGAAACTGATTATCATGGTGAGCCGAGAGGTAAGTACCCCCAGCCACATGTTCCTGCCGCCATGAACTCTATCAGGCCCTCCAACCATGTGAACTTCAACACATGAATAATAAAAAAAATCTTGTTAGTGATCTGGTCATAACAATTAAAATTGACAGTAGCTAATATGTCCATTGACAACCAAAGATCAAAATTATTGTGGCAAATGGCATGTGTTTATTGATTCTAAAGTGAGGTGAAACCTAAATAAAATGGGATATGATCAAGATCAGAGAGATGCAGGATTAATTCTAATAGTCAATCTTGTGTACACCATCTCTTTCCATTTGCCCCATAGCTTCAAGTTTCTTGACTTTAGAAAAGGAGATGTTTTACTTCTACCTATGGGGACATATCCTCCTTGACATGCCAGGACTAAATAAGGCAGCTCAGCCTGAAAACAGAGATCAGGGGACAGGAGATGCCGAGAATGAGGCACCGCCCTGGATGCTGCCTAATCCATTCAACATGGGACACACTGTTCCAGAAACAGGATGACAATTAATAGGAAAAATCTGCTCTCACATCACTGCCAAGCATGTTTCAGGGTCTCAGCTGCTGGTGGGAAGAACAATAATGCCCCATTCTTCCTTTTGGTCCACATCCTGATGTTTTCTTGTGGAGAATAAGGAAAGATCGCATACACACACACACACACACACACACACACACACATCAATGCTCATAGACAAAGATCCAAGAATCACCCAAGACAGAAGGCTTTGAGATGCTCAGTAGTCATCCCATCTAAACCTGTGGAGCTCTGCTCTGACAAATGGTAAGAGCTGGCAGAAAAAAGTGTCTTCAATCAAAGTGCCTAAGAGTAGTCTGGACCTGTTTGAGCCATTAAAAACCTATTTCCTCCTTGGAAATTACCAGCATATATATTTCTCTTGGTCAAACTATTTCAAATTATCCACAAACACTGGAGGTATCACTCAAAGGTAGAACAATTAGCTACCCTGCATGAGGTCCCTTGGCTCAACCCTGACTCCCACAAAGCTGGGGGAGGAAAGAAGAAGAGCAGGAAGGAAGGGAAGAAGGAAGAGGAGGAGAAGAGGAAGGAAATGGGGTGTGAGGTTGGAAAGAGGGAAGGATGAAGAGAGAAATACCCAGAAGCAAAAGGAAACATGGCTTGCCTCCATCCATTCATCATATTCATCAAAAGCCAAGAGTTGAGAAGCAGAAGACTCCAGAAAGACCAATCTAGCTGGCTCCACATTTCAACCCTTTGGTCATCTCTGAGTAGTTCTATATGCTAGTATTCTTAATTTTTAAGGGAGACCCAGAATCTTGAGAATATAACCAAATCTGGCTCCTTTTGCATACAAATACTTGACCCTTGACCATGTAGCTATTCAAACATTCATTTTTGCATATGAATCTATGGACTGCTGCTCCTGTGAATGGATTCATGTTTTCTGTTGTAATCCCTGAGCCCCAAGGTCAGGACTCCCACCACAAAAACCAGCTTCTAGTATCAAAGCCTCAGAAGTTCATCCTTCTGGGTTTCATGATGTCACCAGCAAATATCAGCATGGATGTTGCTTAAGTAACCTTTAACTCTCCCTCTCCACCCACCTCTGCCAACATCAGCCACGCATAGCAGCCCCAGCTGGGAAGACATCTTGAAAATCAGGTTTCAATTCTAGAACCAGAAGCACCCAGTTTCTTTCAAATCATTGGTCTATATCCGACTCTGAGACCAGGCAGGTAAATGCTAATTCAACATGTTAACCCTTTTCATGCCAGATACCTCACAGGAGCTTGGGCAGAACACCACATCCCAGCACTCCCCTTCTGCCCTAATGGGGCCGAGTACTCTGACATGGAAGTTGGCCAGCAGATTTAGAAATCGTGTTGCTCTTGGCATCCATTCCAGGACTCTGTGCAGAGCTACATGCTGAGCTACAGCAGCAGAGACAGCTTTTCAATACCAGAATTCACCACCCTCCATCTCACTGGGCTAAGTCACGACGAGATTTCAAAGACGAGTACAGACAAGAGAAAAAAGAATCACTCACATGTGCCGTCCCTTAGACCACCACTAATGAAAAGAATCGTCATTTGCCTCATAACCAACTTTCTGCTCAAACCTCATCATACAAGTCCATCTGAGCAACCAGCAGTTTTTCATTTCCAGCATCCATATTTGGTTCTCATAAATCCCAGCACAGTCTTTGGTCCATAGTTACCCAGAACAGGGTACAGACAGGGGTCTCCACTGGGGCTATGGAGATCCAATGAGCAGAGACTTCTTCAGAGAGTACACAGAGTGAAACCAAGTATCTTTTGATGACAAGAAGCTAGGCTTCCACTATGTAACTCTTGGAACCAAACGGTGCCACCTTACCCTTCATTCCAAATTTGGACCGGCGACCATACTTGTTGATCATGATGAAGAGAACCACCAGAAGGACGCAGGCAAAGGCAGCAAGTCCGACCGCTATGGATACCTAGTAGGAGCCAAACAGAGAGACAGTCAGGAGCCGTGACGGAAGCCTCCGAGCCTCAGAAGTAATGTGTGTGCCCGGTGAGAACAAACAAGTTTCGACAGAACAGGACCTTCTAACACTTCTGCTACTGAGGTGTGTGTAACCTGAAACCTACATGCCCAGTGCAGCCGTGACACCTCTGTATGTGGCCATGCCATGTCACAATGTCGAACTATTGGGCAACCCTGGAGTTAAGTCTTTAAAAGTGGTTTGTGAGACCCTAAAAGAACTTTTAAATTTTTATTTAAAAAATATAAATTAATAAGCTTGATTAAGGGGAGGTTCCCAGGTTCAATACTCTGAGCCCTCTTATCTGGAAGCCATTCTAGAATTGCAATAGCAAGCTGAGAGAAACCTCTGTCTAATGTTTTGACTAGCAAGTAAATTCTCTATCTTTCCACCAAAATCTTTATACAGCAGTCCTACTCAGAGAAGACTAGGAGTTCTGCATCAACAGACTCCTTTCTACGTCTCCCCAGGAAAGCCTCAGATTCTGAGGCAGGACCGGGAAAACCTATCCAAGGAGAGGCTCTGAGTAATTTGGGGTTTTGTAGAAGGTTTATCCAGTCAGCAGGCCTTGCATGCCTGCTGGGCCTGGCTCGTAGCAGACTGGGAATTTCAAACTGTTCTCTTCCTAGCCCTGGGTCTTGGAGCTGACTCTCAAAGGCTTCTTCAAACAATGAGGCACTCTCATCAAACATGGACGGTTTAAACCATCTCAAAGGGAAGCTCTCCCCACTGCTTCTTTTTTTTTTCTACCATTGGTACTGCTCCAAGTAAGAGACTATGTGGGGAAGTTAGCACCTCAAATGAAGTCCGAAAATGACTCTACCCTTCAGTGTTTTCATCTAGACTCAGGAATTAACTCACCCCAAAAGTGTCTTCCTCTGGTTTGTGGGTCACAGTGACAGGGGGAGTGGGGCTCACATCAGACTCTGAAAAGATGACAGGGGAGGGGATGGCAGTTAGCTTATTAGCCAGGAGTCCCGGTTCATGCCTGCTCTGTCCTTGGGAAGCAGGTCCCTAGAGTCACCCTCCTAGCTGAGCAGACACCCCCAGGAACTGAGTAAGCCCCAGCAGAGCTACCTGTACCACGCTTCAGTGGGGGGGGGAAAAACACTCAAAAGAATGCAGACCCCTATCCCACCTCCTGGCCTAGCCCAGAGAACACACCACAATCTGGGCAACATGCACCCTGAAGCGCAGGACAGGAATGATGAAAACAGTTTAGAATCCAGGCTAGCCTGGAGAGTAGGGAGATTTTAACAGTGGCAACAGCCGTCACTAACATTGCTATCTCTTGCTTAGCCTCTTTCACTCTCCCTTCCTGTCTCATTCCTTCCCGCTTTCACTCGAAGGCCTCAGTGAAATCCGGGCTCACATCTTAATTAATAAACAGCCCTCTAGCCATGCCCCAAGACTGATTTCAGAGCACAGTGGCAGTTGGGAACAACATTCAACGGACCAGGAAACACCACCGAGGGGCATCCTCTGTCTACAATCACTTCCTTGCAAGAAGCAATCCCAGCTCTGGATTCTCTTAAGGGACACCTGTGGGATTATAAGATATTTTTATGACCAAAAACAATTGAAGGGGTCACATATGGAACTTACATGTGTGCCAAAGGGCCGGAATATTCCTAAGTAGGGCTGTTCTACTATCTCTGACCTGAAACTGGGCAGAAGCGGCAATGCTGGCTGCTGTTCCCACCTTGGGAGAGTAATCAAAAAGAAAGCGAAACCGCACTCCTTCAAGGACTGTCCAGCCCTGCCCTGGACTCTATTATGAACTGAGCTTCAGTGGTGCAATTCAAGGATGCGTGAGCCCCTGAGAAACCACAGGTTCTGGCCAAAGGCAGGTGAGAAAGACTGGCAAGTTTCCGGGCCCCATATTTTCTCTCTTAGAACAACTGAGGTGATCAGTGAGGGTCCTAAAAGCTGTTCTTTACCTGCTGCAGACTCTTTTCAGTCAGGTAGAGAGGTTTGCAATATAGTCAAACCTCAGAAAACACTGAGTGGGGCCAAGTGGCTCAGTTGCAGAATACTACCTAACCCTGTATTTAATCCCATTACAGAACAAGGTGGTTGCTAGTTGTCTAAGAGAAACTGTGGTCCAGGGCAACTGTCCGAGTGGGCCTAGGATTTCTTTCTTGTCGTAATGTACTGACACCCTCAACTGCCAAGGGCAGGGAACATGGACTAGGCAAGAGGGAAGTCTGTATTTGACAGTCACCAAACTATCAGGACACAAGTGTTTCAAACCCAAAGCCAAGCACACTTACCAAAGTCAAAGAAATCTGTGCTCTCTGGGGGGAAGAAAAGAACAAAGATGCAATTAACAAATATAATAATAACCAAAGATCGGGGGGGGGGGTTGTATAGGACAGCAAACTACTAGCTGGGACCTCTTCCTCTTAACACAGTCCCCATTCCCACAGCAAGGGACACCTAGGCATCCTTCCTAAGTCGCGCTCTCCAACCAGTGCACGACCTCTTCGGGGCATAGTCCCCACAATGGAGGCTAGACAGATGCAGCTCCTGGTCTCAGAGAAGGAAACCGACCTGCAAGCTGACAATCAAGCTAGTTTCACTGCGAGGCAGAGGACTGAGGCCCTAGCCCCATCCTGTCCACAGCTGTCCCTCTTTCAGGTACTAGAACACTGGAGCCGGTGCTTCAGAGCAGCTCCAGCCGTGACCCTAGAATAGACTTCTTTCCCTCAGTATGTGTGGGCAAGACTGACATGTCACTGAGAAGTCTGGGGAATGCCCCGCCCCCTAGGATCTTCTTATCATCCATATGGACATGTGTTACCTGAACTCTGACCTATGGAAATGGCTCTCCCAATAATGGAAGAAAATCCTTAAATGGGCCTTAATTATGAGCCATGAGCTGTGCTCAGTGCTTCAAGTACTATGTCCTTCAAACCTTTATCATCTCCTAGGAGATGAATAGCAGAGTTATAAAGATGAACTAATTGAATACCATTCATCTAGAAAGCAATTCTAAGACTGGGCTCTTTAGCACTCTCCAGTGCTGCTCAAATTTGAGCACATGACAGAACGAATCATCGGAAGGTGAGTGGCACCATCCTCCACCGAAAGGAAAGAGAACTTCTTCAAGGAATGGACTATTTCATATCTGGGACAGGAAAATTAAAAATGCTTTGGGTAGCTTGCGGCACCAGAAAACAAGAAAGTGCTTAAAGATATATGGTCCTGGAAAGAGAAATCAGGTAGGGATGCCAATCTGAAATGTTTAATAATCTGAGCAAAAAAATAGTAAGAGTCATGGGGTGTTCTAGACTACACTGTGTTGCTTCACAATCCATAGGACTAAGGTGTAGCCCCCGTACTTCAGAATGTCACTATATTTGGAGATAAGGGGCACACGTGAAAATGAAGCCATTGGGGACCAGATAAGAAGAGATTGGAACATTGATGTGCTCAGAGGCGAGGCCAAGTAAAGGTGCAGCAAGGACAGCAAGGACAAGCCAAAGAGAGAGGCCTTGGAAGAAAGCTAGCCTGACAACAGTTGCTCTCAGATTCCCAACCTCCAGCGCTGTGATAAAATGGACTTTTGCTACTTAAGATACCCAGTCTACACCACTTTATCATGGCAAACCTAGACAACAAACACATAAATTTGCAAAAACACCCATAGGCCTTTATATACACAACTGTAGAGCTGAGCAAAGGAGTGGGAGAGGCCCTCCTTCACAGTGATTCCTGCTAATAAAGGGAAGGATGGAAACAGAAACCATCCTCATTTGGTAAATGCTATAGTGATAACTGCTTAGGCAAGAATCATCAATAAATGTTGAAACTGCTGTATGGAAATGCTGTAGGAATTCCTACCGCCAGTAGCCTTTAAGTTACCCGCCTACTTGGCCGTGGCCTCTTATACTGTTTATGCCCAAGTAAAGCACGCTTCCGGCCTCTTTTCCAGCTGCGGGATTCAGTTGCTGTTCTCTGTTCCAGCAGAGGATTGGGATTTGTGAGTCTACCCCTAAATAAATAACTCTCTATTATTCTCAATTCTGAGCTAGTGTGGAATTTCTTTTAAGGGTCCTTCTTCATGGAAAGATGGTGAGAAACAAGCTATGTGTGTCCTTTCGGATCCTTATTCCGATTAACTAAGGGTGAAATAAGTCCCTGTGCAGTGGAGGACTCCGGCGAACAACATCTTGACCAAATGCTAAAGTTGGCCTCACCTCTGATAAGCCATGTTAACATCCTGCATTCTTCAACAGGAGGGACCAAAAAGGGTGGAAAAAGACTCAATGGCATCTGTGGAGGCCAAATGAAAGATAGAAGAAAGTTCTCTGCAATGTTTCATAATTTTGACCTTTTTTTAGAGCCCAAGTTATTTCAAAGTGGAGTGAAATCAAATCAGGACTGGGAGTCCTCAACCCAGCATTTCTGGTTCATAAGGTCTTAAGAGAGTGTCTGTGTTGCTGAAGATGGAATCCAGGGCCCCACACAGGCAAGTGCTCCAACACCAAACCATGTCACCAGGCCTTGGTGCATTCCAAGCAAACCCTCCACCACTGACAGGCCCCACCTCCAGCTCCACAGTGATGCATTCTGAACAGGTGCTCGACCGCTGAGCAGTGTTCCCAGCTCTGAGAAAATGCCTGACTTCTCAGGTGATAAGGATGTTGGTAATGCCTCTGGAAGCCATGCCCCACAACACCAGCCCCCTGTCACAAGCCTGCCAGGCCCTGAAATGTAAGAACAAATCCTTCACTGGCTGGCTCATCCGCTGTTTCATTCATTCATCACTGTGGTCCTCCACTTACCAGACCTTGGTCAAGTCCTTTTAGGAACTGTAGCCAGCAGAACACTAAATATGAACTAGCAGGATATGATTAGCTGTTTGCAGGGAATGGGGTGGTTTCTGTGAAGTCCATTTTCAATATCTGTTGCCTGGCTGGATTTTTGTTTCCTGTTCTGTGTAATTGTGGGGAAGCTCTGGCTTGGGGGATAATGGAGGAAACGGGGCTTTAGCATAGGCTCTGGAGCATGAAAAGAGAGACGCGCCAGATTAATCAACAGTATCCATTTATTTTATATTTCTCAGAAGGCTCCCATTTATTAAAAAATATTTTTCCAGCAGCCAAATATTTTGGCCAAGTGTCTGAACCCTGTAATCTCAAAATCAGTCTATGATTTTGAGCATAAATCATCAAGTCCTTTGCTGGAGCCAGGCCGCATGCATACATGCAGGCAGCGTGTGAGCTCCAGATCAGGAAGACATGTTGCCTGCTCTCTGCCCTTAGCAGGCATTTATTTGGGGTGCGGAGGGGTACAAACAAGCAAATAAAACAATACTAGGAATTGTTCTTCTTCTGATTCCTACCACAAGGGAGGACAAGGATAGAATCAGCAGGATCAGATCTGGACAATAGATAGATGCATATGCTTCCTACAGCTCCAGACAATAGCTCTCCAAGAACTCATCACAATTGTGTGTGTGTGTGTGTGTGTGTGTGTGTGTGTGTGTGTGTGTGAGAGAGAGAGAGAGAGAGAGAGAGAGAGAGAATACATGTGCATGTGTATATGATTTGTCTATGCGCACAGCCTTGTGTGTGTATGTGGAAGCTAGGTAGCTCACTGATCAGGATCAGTCTGTCATGTCCCTGGACCCCTGGTGCTAGGGTTACAGCCATGCACAGAGTTCTAGGGATTCAAGAACAGGCCCTTGTGCTTGTAGAGCAAGAGCTGTTACCTGCAGAGCAATTTCTCCAGTCCCTTGCCAAAACATTTAAAAAAAAAAAAAACAAGATCTATTTTTATCAGGCTTATGTATGGGTACCTAGGTGGTCATGGAGGCTGTGAAAGGCCATCAGGTCCTGCCCAGGTGGCTTTGAGACATGTGATGTGAGTGCTGGGCACTGGCCAGGTCCTCCAAGAGAGCAGCAAGAGACTGGAACACCAAGTCCTCTCCAGAGACCCCCATCACAACTTTTGAGGGAGAAGCAAGTTAAGCAGTTTGTCTGAGGTCACAGCTTACACGCAATTGTGTCAACACTTGAACTCTGGTGTCACTGGTCCACGGTCACAACCCTAACCTGCCCTGAGACTACGTACTAGAATTTCCTACCTGGACCAAGAATGGCTACTGGTCTGGAACTCCTGAATTCTTATCATCTCTGCACCCCTGAAACCAGAACAAGTGCCAACAGCAATGAAGGGTTTTCCATGTTCAAGTGCACTGCTAATCACTTGGTGGACAGAACGAACTTCATTTGCTCGTCAATGCAACCTAGGGAAGTTGATCATTTGCATCCAAGGGCAAAGAAGTGAAGACATGGAGCAGTTGCCACTTTTCACAAAACCCAGAGAGCTGTCCATGTGCTGAGCCCTGGCCTAGCATCCTGGGCTACCTATCTGGAAGAATCTCAGATGGAGCTCGTACCTAAATCTGTCCAGCTTCGGAGATCTGGCTCTTAACTGCAGCACTTGGCTGCTCGGGAGTGAGAGAGATGACATACATCTGATTGTGATAAATAAGACGCCTTTACGCTCTCAGGCCAACAAAGAAGAGTGGGATGCACAGACTGCCTTTGCAGCCAGCACCGAGCTGGCGCAAGGTTGAGCAGAGGGAGTTGTAGGTTATCCTTGCCTGCTCCTCTGAATAATTTACTCCTTTGAACATTGATATCTTGTCGCTTGACATGGCTGGCCCATTGTTTCTACCACTGCCCTTTCATAATCCATCAATTCCTTTAACACAAAGGTTCATAAAACAAGCAAACTTCCCCACAGTGTGGCCCATCCTGAAACACGGACAAGTCTGAGGAAGGGTCTCAGGTGTGCTGCTTTCTTTTTGCAGCTTCTCGGGGAGGGGGGTTCCATCCCCACTCCTTCTCCTGGGCTGAGTTGCCAACAATTGCTAACGGTAACTGATTGCAAAGGAGGGATTGTCAAAGTCACCTGAGGAAGTGAAAATCCATCTCTCCAGAGCTCACCCCAGAGCCTCTGATTCCAGAGAACTAAAGGAGCTTGAGAATTTGAATTTTAACTCATTCCCAGGTGATACTGACTCTGCTTGTCTAGGAACCTTGAAAACCAAGCCCGAGGCGCATCGGCAGCCAACTATGGTGTATCTACCTGTAAGTACAGAGGCCATGTCTACATGGCTGGAGGATACTGGGATACTGTTTTCTCCTGGAAGAAGAGGGGGCAAAAGGAAGGCTACACCCCCAACATCACCGGTTGCCCCTGCTGCCCTGTAACATTTAGAATAATCCCTGGGGGAAGGAGCTCAGAGTGGCTCGCCTCCCTTTGTAATATTCCAGAGCTCTCTCCATGTCCCAAGAGCTTCCCTTTGGAAACAGAAACGTTGCTACACTCAATCCGTCATGGAGAAGGGATGCAGATGAGTAATAGGGGCCAAACTAGCTCTTTATGTCAACAACTTTATGGGCCGTGAGAGCAAATTATCTCCATATTCACATGCCACTGATGCCACATTGCAGGCCAGGACTCTTCTTCTAACCAAAGGAGAGCCCACTGTGGTCCATGATGGGAAACACCTTGAGGCTTTTGTGAGCACACGTGGGTGGTGTTGGGAAGGTCAGGGCCTAGGTACTGCTAGGGTCTCAACTATCCGCAGATTCTCAACCTTTTCTGAGAAACGGCTCCATCATTCCCTAGATCTCAGTGACAAACATTTAGGACAATACCCAGCCCCATGTCTCCAGTGTCACTTGTGGGGCCCCAGCTCTCCTTTCCTTACATTGAGACAAATAAGCTTCCCAGGCCACTGCCCTGTAGTTATTTGTAACTATGAATTTGCGTTCCTCCAGACAGATGCTTCATGGTCCCCATTTTGAAAGTGTGTGATATCGGCCCCTATACTACTCTTTGTCCCTTTAGAACCTCTCATTTCTGAGAAGTGAAGATCAGGAAGTCACCTAGCCTGAGCCAGCATACACTGCAAAAGTCAGCGAAGAAACACAGCCACATGGGCAGAAATGTTATCAGCTATATAACCCACCAAGAAATGTTACAACCAGCCACTTCCTTTAAGCCCTTTCAGACTTCTCTTGCTGTTCAACTTCAGGGAAGAGTTTGGACAGGCTGAAAGGGGCAGAATCACCTCCCCGGGTTCAGAGATCTTCCCTTACTACAACTCTTAGCTCTAGCCAGGGTGACATTTGCACCGTCAGCGTCTGATAACATCATCTACCTCCCCACTAAGTTACCATAGAACAAGAGCAGAAAAGAGCCCAGGCCTGGAGGCCAGTTCCAAGGCAAGCCTTACTGCTAAATAGCTTGGCTGAGGTTTCAGACAGCAGTCTGTTAAATGTGAAGTTGACTTGGACCAACTCTTAAGTGCACTGCAGTAGAGAGTCACTGAGTTATTATCATATACCAGGCTTACATCTTAACTCATTCAAAACTCATGAAACTCCCAGCAGAGCAATGTGCTCACACTTGTGTCTGTTTCACAGATGAGGAAGTTGAAGCTTCGTAGAAGTGCACTGGAGAGTCCAGTATACCGCGCTCGGGTAAGTAAAATACCGGGTCAGGATTCTGTACCACATCATCCATCTCTAATGTATCCCTTATTTACCAACTATAATACAGGACATCTTTATATGAACAGCAGGGTTTTTTGAAGGGAATCCTGGAGGTTGCTGTGGTAGCCATGGAAGACTATCCTGGCTAGTACAAAGTACAGATGCTGGCCGTCCCTGTCCCAGTGTGAGATCAATTATGTAGGTGACTGTGATTATCAGTGCTATCTCTTCTTTCATACTACACACCCCCCAGCTCCTAGAAGAAATGTGCACAGGCCTCACCTGGAAAGGGCTCCTTCAGGAAGTGGCCATTGATGGTCTGGTTGGCTGTGCCCAGGGCATTCTTAGCAATGAGGGTGTAGTTGCCATTGTTGTAGTGGGTGGGCTTGTTGAAGAGCAGGCAGCCCTCGGAGACCTCACCCTCCTGGTAGTAGTCCATGTGAATGATCTTGGACTCCCTCAGGGGCTGCCCATTGTACAGCCAGTGCAGTGTGGGGGTTGGGTTGCCACGCACCACAAACTCAATGCAATGCTCCAGGCGTACCTCGGGCTCCACCAGGCTCACCACACGGGGAGGGTCTGTGGGGAAAAGCAAGCTGATCTCGAGGACACGGAGTCTCCTACAGACCAAAGAGACCTTCTAGGAAGCAGGATGGGGATCCCACTTCTCACCCTGCCCTGAGACAGTTGGGTGAAGCAGAGCTCCCACCACCAGCCAAGAGAAGGGAAGAACCACGCGTCTTTAGCTAAGCTCATGGCATCTATCTTAGCGGAGCTTCCCTTCTGAGTCCTTTCAGGGATGCCAAAAATAGAATGGACCAACTTGAGAGATTCTGGAAAATGGAACTGAATTGCAGAGGTATGCCATCCACTGAGGGACAAGGAACTTCTTTCCTGTTTTTTTTTGTTTTTGTTTTTTGTTTTTTTCCCAAGAGCTTATTTTTCAGTTTTGCCTTAGGATGGCCTTTATGCCCTTGTTGAAAGGCCAGGGTCGGAGCCTCTAGATCAGCTCTGGCCATGGACCTGCCCCTTTCCCAGCCTCCTCCTGCTACCTCTCTGGCGTCCATGATGGCATACACTTACAGTAGACAGTGAGAGCAACGCTGGCATTGCTCATGCCCACCACGTTCTCCGCAATGCATGTCAGGGTGAAGCCGTTGTCCTCGCTTGTCACGTTCACCAGGGTCAAGTTGATGGCATGTACATTAGTCCAGTTCAGATTGGTCTGAAAATCCCAATCAGAAGATAGTCACCAAACCATTTCTACAAGGATGGCTTCCTTTCCTAACCCCTAATACCTCCGGAAACCAAGGAAAAGGCGAATGAAGTCTAGCTAGTGAAATCACACAGACCATGCTCAGGATCTTTGTAATTCAGTTGATCCTCATATGAATATTGGGTGGTAAATGGCAAAGTTGGTCTTTTTTGCAAAAGAAGAAACCAAACAACAGAGAGTTGAGCACCATAGCAACAATCGAAATGACAAGAAATCATGCCATCTAGATACAATCTGAGTCTGCATGGTTCTTCCAAGAGGGACAGGATCCCAATTTCCCCTTCTTCTTTATAATACTTGGTCCCTAACTCTTAACGTGCCTGGCCAGAGGATACCTACCTGGTGGGTGTTGATGGACTGCAGCCCAGTGACTATCCAGTCCACATCAGGCAAGGGGGAACCAGAGCCATTGCAAGTGATCACAGCATTGTCTCCTTCTCGGACGGTCAGGTTGACGTGGCTCACACTGATCTCAGGGAGATCTGGGAGGACAGGGAGGACAGGGAGGTAAGAAGCCAGAAAATGGTATACAGAGCTCTGCCTCTGGGCACTTTTGGTCTTGCCCTGTGGCAACTCTAGTACAACTTGCTTGAACTCATGTGATGGTTGTAACTTTGTGGTGGCTACTATCAATTTGACAGGCTCAAAAATCACCTAGAGACGCTGCTGAGCATGCCTGAGGGAATATCTAGGTTAGGTTAACTGAGGTGGGAAGATGCCATACTATGGGCTGTGGCCTGAACTGAATAAAAAGGCAGAAGCAAGCTGAGTGCCCTCATTCATCTCTCTCTCTCTGCTTCCCGACTACGGGCACAAAGTGGCCAACTGCCTCAAATTCCCCTCACACAGCCATGACTTCCTCATCGTGGTGGGCTGTACCCTGAAACTGTGGGCCAAAATAAACTCTTCCCTCTCTAAATTGCTTTCGCTGGATCGACGTGAAAAGTAAGGACTGTAAGCTCCAGCTGATTCGCAGCCCCTCCTCTGCAGACCTCAGAACTGAGACACATACAGTGGGATGCTCCTACATCGCAGGTGTGAGTGGCACAGGATGCCATTCTAGCAACCAAGCCTACAGCTTCAATGTTTGGGGTACTAAGTCTCAGCAGCTGGTGTGTGACAGGTTCCCATGGGCACTAGAAATTCCATCCTTTAGCATAGAAGCTGGGCATAGAAGCTGATCCTCTAGAAAACAGCCTGGAAGCTCCTTGTACAGGAATGACAGTGGCTGCACACTAAGACATGCTCCTTCATGTTTGATTGACAGGCTACTCTGCTGCGAATGGCACATGACTTCTTTCGGCATTCCTACTCCAAGACTAGCCTTCCCATGGCTGGCTCAAGATAGGATGACCAAGAAGGGGAAATGTCGGTCTGATCTGCGCTCACTGCTGAGGACAAGACAGGAGAGGGCTGGGAAGGAGACCCTGACAGGTCCAGCCAGTTCTCTGGGGAGTGCGGGATGCTGGCCAGATGAGGCAGGGCTGCGGCTCACTCACCACACTGACTGATGTTCATGCGGAAGAGAGGGAGTTGGGAGCCATCGGCACTGATGCAGTAAAGACTCTGGCTGTCCAGCCGGGCCTCCCCCTGCTCCTGCCACAGCTGCATCCAGCGGATGTCGCAGCTGCAGTTGAAGAAGTTCTGCTCCAGTCTCCTGTGGGTAAGAAGAGAGGGGAAGGAATCCCTGAACAGTGGATGACCCAGCTCCCTCCCAAGGCTGAGGCCAGCGGGCCCCGGCTGCTCCTCCATGAAATGAGCCGGACTCGGATAGACAATACCATGTTTCCTCTCATCCATTGGTTATAGACTTCATTTAGATGCATAAAACCATGAGAGAGACAGACAGAGATAGACTTGAAAGTAGACGGGAAATTGGAGGGAGGAAAAAAAGGAAGGAGGGAGGAAAGGGAGGGGAAGGAAGGAAAGAGGAGAAAAGGGAGGGGAAGGGAAGGGAAAGGGAGGAAGGGAAGAAGGGGAAGGAAGGAAGGAAGGAAGGAAGGAAGGAAGGAAGGAAGAAGGGGAGGGAGGGAAGGAAGGGAGAGGGAGAAGGAGGGGAGTAAGAAACTAGCTGGGGGAACAGGAGAAAGAGAAGGGCATCTGGGAGTAAATATGGCCACTCACATGTTACACTTGAAATAAATTATCTTAATGCAACCCATCACTATGTACAACGAATATATACCAATAAAATAATTTAAAAAGTAATAAAGAAAGTGGCTGGGGAGGTAGCTTAGCTGTTAAAGTGCTTGACATTCAAGCATGAGGATGGAAGTTGTGGACCCAGCACCTATAAAAATGTTGTAAATGACAGGAGGGCATGGTGGCCAAACTGCAATTCCAGCACTTGGGAGGTAGAGACACCGATTCCGGAACAAACTCCCTAGTCAGAAGAGTTGGCATTGGTGAGCTCCAGATTCAACCAAAAAAAAACAGGCAACAGCAGCCTCTGTACTCCACATGCGGGTGCCCACACTTCCTCACACACGCTGATGCCCACATACATACACATACTCATGACGCCCTCTCTCTCTCATACACACACGCACACACACATGCGCACATGCGTGCGCGCACACACAAATAAAATAATAAAAATAGTAACAGTAAAGGAAAATAGGTTAAGTAAGGTCGCAAAAGATGCAATAAAAAACAACAAATAATGAATAAATAGCATTAAGTCCATTCACTTAGTCTCAAAAGTAATAATTTTACAGAGAATACAATTTTTACCCCATGTAAATCACTGGACACAGAGACCCTTTTACATGTGTTAAGCTGAGATGCTCATCCTCTTAAAGCCTCCCCATGCCTTTCCATTTTGTTGCAATTAAAAGCCCTTTGAAGCCTGGGTTTCTCTGTCACCTTCCTGATGTCATCTGCTCCTCATGATCAGCAAAGCCATACTCTACCTATACTTCTCCACCATCCAAGAATGTCACCTCCGCCTCATCCCTACCCCTATCCAGCCACGCCACCTCCTGCCCAACACCTGTCCCTGTCCAGCCACGCTGATCTACATATGTAGAAGCTCACTGATGTGACCAATTTGGACCTGCTTTGGGGCTTCTGCCCTTGCTGTCTTATCTGTCAGCCAAGCTCTCTCCCAACATATCTGCAAGACTGGTTCCCCTCACTTCATTAAGAAACTGTAGGGCATTCCCTGACCACCATTATATCAAAGCTACCACAGCCCTGTCCTAATAATGTCCAGCCCCTCGCCGGCTGCATTTACCTGTCTACGATTTATTACTATTTCATAACACTTTAAATATTCATATTAGTTTGTTTCTCTGTCTTCCCAGATAAAAAATTAAGCTCCACTGAGGCCGGAGTTATAACCCATTTTGTGCACCGCTGAAATCACGGTACCTAAGATGGATCCCCAGACACATTTTCACTGGGGGAGTAGGTAGTTAGCGATTTCCAAGACATATCCCAAGCCCATCTTGGGACCAGCTTTATCCCTTCATGAATTCAATGATTCCTTAATGAGCACCTGTTCCATATCTGGCCGTGGTTGAATGCTGTTAATAGAGAGATGAATAAGGCAGACCTTGTCCTCTGGGAGCATTCAGCCCAGGGAAGAAGAATGGCTGATAGGGAAAGAGTCAAGTCCCAAGCCCTGTTCTCTGCAGAGTCTCCTTGTGCCTTAGAATAAGGCAGGTGCCTTCTCTATTGGGCTATTTAGGAGAGTGATGGACAGTACTAATCAATCCCCCAAACTCTCAAAGCGCGCAGGCTGAATCTGAATGCCAGGGCCATTAGGGGAACATGATTCTCTCTCTGGGCTATTGAGGGGATCGATCCGTTGGCACCTGGAGGAAAGGCACTTGGGTCACTGAATATTTTTTAAGCACGGGGTATTTTTGACAACTGGCAAATTCTAAAATAGTTAAGCACGCGTCAGCACTTGTCAGCTTGCAGGAAAAGGGTGGCGGGTGGAGGGGGCAGAGAGAGGAACTCAGTTCCTGGTGACGAGGACAGCACAGGTAGCATGTACAGCCACACAGCTTATCATCCTCTTAGCCTGTGAGCATCCATGACTTCTCATTCTTCAGGGTCTTTTGAAAAAGGAAAGGGAAAAGGCCCAGCCGTTGCCGGGAACCTGCTTCTCACAGCAGTCTTACGAGGCAGACAGTACCATCCCCACACAAACAAGAAGGTCCATCTAATAATGTGGACTGAAAGGTGGAATGGCCAATCCTCTCTGTCAACTTGATGGCAGGATTTATAAACACCACGGAGACATTGGATGTAGAGGAGCAGAAACGAGAAGGGGAACCTGCCCTGAATGTGGTGGACTGAGAGAACGAAAACTGAGTTAAAATGGGAATGCAAACTGAGCTCCATCACTTGTCTCCTTTTCTAACTGTGGGCACAACGTGACCGGCCATCTTGTGCTCCTATCACAGTAATGCCCCACCGTGATGGAATTTACCATCAAACCACCATGAGCCCATATAAACTCCTCTTTAAGGTGCTCTTGTCGGTTATTAGACCACATCAATGGGAAAAATAACTAACAGGAGGAGTTAGGATACACGCTCCACGCTCCAGCCGTCACAAAACCTTCTGTATACTTCCCATCGTCTCTTCCCTGGGCCAATGCTGCAGAGCCCAAGGGCCCACCCACAGGACTCCCCTGACTTCCGGGGCTCCTGCCAAGAAGACTAAGAGGAGAGGTAGAGGGAAGCAATCAACAAAAGCAAAGGTCAGCAGAGCACAGAGGTCATATTCAGGAAGCACCTGAGGTGGAAATAGAAGTCAGTGGTAGAGGAGCTTTACCAGCCCGTTGGGGAGTTTGGAGTTTGTCCACAGAGAGGTGAAGAAACCACTTAGGCCACCAGTTAATGATGTTTTATAAGCACAGAGTCACCATGTACAGCTGTGTAGTTTGTGCATTTCTTGAAGAATCCAGACAACACAATGCTAGAATTCAGACCCAGTGCTCTGGAGTGAGGCTACACCACTCCTGCGGGACTATCTTCTCTAACTCACGAACATGGGTATCAGCTAGGCTGGCTGGTAAGGCCTGTATTCCTGAACTTCTGTTCTCCTTACAGAACACATTTAAACTTTTCCTGCATGTCTCCGATAGCGTTTGGGCATGTGGGTTTTATCTCTCATTACTTAACAATTTTAGAAATTGAAACAGCTATTTTGACAGGTGAGATGAAATCTCAATGTCGTTTTAATTTTTATTTCCCTGATTGCTAAGGATAAAAAACAATTTTTGAGATATTTATAAGCCATTATTTTCTTCTGTTGAAAATCTGTTCAGATTCACAGCCCATTTTTAATTGGGTTATTTATCTTCTTGACTGTGTTTTTAAATTGTGTTCTTTGTATACGGTAGATACAAATCCTCTGACAGATATATAGACAGATATGTAGCTGGCAAAGATTATCTCCCACTCTATGGGTTCCTTCTTTGCTTGATTGATTCTTTCTTTGTTTACACAGAAGGTTTGGAAGGGGTGTTATGAGAGCCTATTGTTAACTGTTGGCCTTAATTCCAAGACTAACTAATGGAGTCCAAAAAAATAAAAGGAAGAGATAAATAAAGAGAGAGAGAGGAAAGGAAAGAAGGAAAAAAGGAAGGAAGGAAGGAAGGAAAGAAGGAAGGAAACCTATATTTTGTAGGGTTCTACCTAACTTTTTTCTAGCAGCTTTAACATTTCAGGTTTCAAATCTCATGTCTCTGATCCTCTTGGAGATGATATTTCTGCAGGGCAGTAGATATGGGTATAAATTCATTTCATTGCAGGTGGACTGGATGTTTCCCCAGTACCATTTGTTAAAGATGCTGTCTTTTCTCCAATGTATGTTTTGGGGCTCTTTGTCAAATATCAGATGGATATAGCTATGATTATTCATATTTGAGTCATCTATTTTCCTTTATTAATCTACATGTGTGTTTTAATTGCAGCACCATGTTGTTTTTATTACTATAGCTCTATAATGCACCTTGTAATTTGCAATAGCCACACCTTCAGTATTGTTCTTCTTGTTCAGAATAGCTTTGGCTATCTAGGACCTTTTCTGAGTTCATGTAAATTTTAGAGTTTTTTTTTCTATTCTTGTGAAGAATGCTATTGGTATTGACTTGGGATTTCACAGAGACTGTACACTGCTTATGGTAAGAGGCTTATTTTCATAATAATAACTTTACTGAGCCATGATCACTGGGTATTTTTCCATTTTCTAGTATCTTCTCATCTCTTTGGAAACTGGAAGTTTTCATTGAAGAGTTATTTCACCTCCTTGGTTGGGTTAAATTCGAGACATTTTGCTGTATGAGTATATTGCAAATTTGAATGTGTTATGACCTTTTTCTCAGCATATATATTGTTGGTATATAGAAAGGCTACTGATTTTTATAAGTTGATTTTTCATATTGTCCCTTTGCTGAAAGTATTTTGTTGCAAATTGAAGTTTCCTGGTTTTGGGGACCTATTATATAGATCATATCATCTGCAAATAGGGATCATTCTTCTTTTACTATTTGTATCCCTTTAATTTCTTCCTTTTGCCTTATTACTCCAGCTAGTGCTCTGAGTACTCTATTGGATGGGAGTAGGGAGAGAGGGCAGTCCTCTTATTCTTGATTTAGATGGGACTGTTCCGTGTTTTTCTTCATTTAGGAAAATGCTA